ATATCGTCCATCGCGATGTTTCACTGTAGACATTGTCCGATGCCAATTTTGTAACCTTACTATCTATCTATATCGTGTGTGTATATATCTATATATATTAAAATCATTATTTATTATTATTAAACACTTATAATTATTATATTTATTTTTAACAAATTGTATTTTAACATTTTATATTATTAAAAATTATATTCACACACACACACACACATATATATATATATATATATAAAGTATATATAGCATTAAAATAAATGTTTAGATAGATTTAATAACATTGTGTTCTAGCATGTCTCCATCATGTTCAGTCCAAGATCGCGTTTCCAGTACTACCAACTGTACAATATTGTGTGTATCAGGCTTTTAATAAAGCTTTCCTAAGCCAGCTGTGCTGCTTGTAATGTAAAGCATGTGCTCGAGGGAAAGTGGCTTTCCTGTCTAACGTTATAGCTCAATAGCGTCTTGCTAGTCAAGCCAAGATGACATTACACGAAATCAGTAACATTTCCTCTGAAATCCTGAATGACGCAATGTATGTTATGCTCAGTGTGAAACATTACACACAATGTTGGTCGATAAAAGCAATGACAGAATGAATGGGGGTTGGGCAGCTGACAGCAAAATGATGAGGTGTGACCAGCCGCATCACTGACAGATGATAACATGCGATTAAACTATAGCGACTCACCTGGTTATAATGCACCCTAAACGGTCTCAGATAGTTAGAGCTGGTGCACGGAACCACCTGAATATTATTGATCTGCTCCATGGCTTTGATATAGCTGCCCACGGGTACTTCTCGCCACAGACGGCACAGCCGCAGACTACTGGAGGAGAATAGGGGAAATGTCTACGGAAGCCTGTGAAGGACAGAATAAGAACGCTCTTAGTCTTTGCGTTGCAGTAATGTTAGGACTATGCGGTGCAGAAAACTGCCAGTCAGCGATAGTTGCGGGAGGATGATGTGATTCATTTTTTTTTTTAAAGGTTAAATTACGGACTGTCGCCTCAGCACACTCCCTTTCACCTTTACCGCGCGCGCGCCTGACGCGCGAATGCAGGTGTCTGGCTCGTGCAGGCGTTACCTCAGACTTACCTTAGAGCCAACTTCAGGAAGCGCGTGATTCGCTGAATAAACCGCCAAAACTCGTATACTACTTAATAATTTTCTGTAAATCTTTCAAGAAACGGACACTGCCCAAATGCCTGAATGATTGACCCCTCACCTTCCTCGACAGGACAAATAAGGTATTCAACCATCATATTAGCTTTTGGGAATAGCCTATGTAAGGCTGTAGTAGTAGTATAATTGTGGAAAAAAAGAAAACTACAACACAATTAAACACTTTGTACATAATACATTATACAGAGAGTAACACTAAAATGTTTATTTTATTTTTATTTATTTTAAAAAAATACACCCACAAAAACATAAAAACATCTACTACTGCAAAGTAAATCTTTCTGCTTATCTGATGGCCTTAAAACAGTAATCTCGGAGGAAACATCTAAACATGTGGTTTCAATGTAATTTGAAGAAACAGAATGCTGTGTATCATGATGGGCACATGTTTCTTATCTGACCTTATGCCTCTGCTAATGTCCCATCAAAACCAGATGAAGAAGCTTATCCTCTCTTCCTTGAAACATCTTTACTTATCTTTACTATCTTTTTTTTTTCTCGATGGTTGAGTCTTGAGGTGACTTATTTGGGGGTCCCAGCACTAAAGCATCAAGACACATGGTTTTCTCAGAGGATCCGCTGAAAGTAGGCTCAAAATGGTAAATTTGAAGTAATTTGAATTGAAATTTTAAAGTATTTCAATAATGATATAAAATAAGCCTTCAAATCAGTGATGAAGTGAGAGTGGAGGATGCTTGTTTGTCACCATCTATTTCACATGCACACAAAGTGCAAAACTGTCACCTCTATGTAGGGTGACAATTTTCCTTTGTCATCTTTAGATGTCTGTGATCACAGCTCTCACATATAGAAATTACATCATCTAGTCGGTTCATCATAAACAGGTGGAGAATATGTCTATTGATGATTTGACATGATTTCAGAGACAGCAGAAGTGAAACAAACTGCTAATTACACTGAGGAAATCACCCAGGGACCTATATGACTGTCAGGTCAAGGTTACAGACATAAAGAGCATGAAATTAGTTTGCAGTTCTTGAATTATGTACATTATTTTCCACTTTCCCGAGTCTATATGCCTTTTTTAAATGAAACATATTTTTTCCTATCCAAAAAACAAGCATTTAGTGAAAGACATCAGCTTTTTACTAGAAAAGCTCTAGTTTTATATAATTGTATGTAATTTTGTTCTCTTAATTGATCATCAATCAAATGTATTTGAATGCAATTTATTTATTTTTTTGCTTGAACATTCTTCTTCTACTCATATGTTCAGCCATATATTTGAGTCTTTTGTCTTCTGCAAGAAATCAAACAAATATTATAAACAAAGACACCAAAAGACAAAGACCCAAGTGTTTTATTTCTCATGTGGCCATGGTTTTCTCTTTATAACTACAGTGATTAATGTGATGGCAATTCAATCCACAATATACTCCACACCCTGTTCTTTCAATCATATTTCTCATACCTCTAATCATAGTTCTCAGAACTCTCCCACACGAACAGTTTCCGCCCCTTGGTTCCTCTTTCCCAACCTTCCAATCTTCTGAGTTTGACTGGAAAAATACAAGTTCTAATTTGATCTAAATTAGATCTTTTGATGAAGGCTGGGTGGAAGTCGGTCGATAAGGCACAAGGAAATTCAGCCTGTTCCTTATGGACCCCCGGGGTGTGCACCTTTCCAAACATCTTTAGACGCAATACTGTGTGGTACAGTGATTGTGGTTGCTTACAATAATACAATAATCAGTGCAATCACAAAAGCACCATACAGGCCCGGGCCAGGAAGTGTTGAGAGGAGCTGAAGACGTGTAACACCCAGGATGCCCTGACTTTGATGGAGAGAGAATGATGTCACCCAAACTGCAATATGGCACTCCGTCTCGGACATTCCGAGGGTCCCAATCTCTTCAAGCCAGTTTCCTCCTCGGAGGGCCAGAAGTCCCACCCTCCATACACTGGCAGGATGTAACACTTTTGATGGCTGATTTACATCTAAATAAACATTGCCAGACAAAACAATGTGCGACTGGAATGGAAACGCAGCCCTTTTTTCTCCACCCGGCCAATTGATATGAGCCGACTGAACAAGGCTGCAGTCTATGATAAGCAGTACTGGGGGTTCACAGTCGTGGCTTTCAGAATTGAAGAAGTGGTTCACAGAGAGTTTAAAGGGCCTTTTACAGGATTTGAATATGTGTATTCCTATGTATGCATGCATATTGGCATTAATATTTCTTCATTTATTACAAAAACTTTGTTACAAAACTGTTCATTAACATTAACTGTTCATCAATATAACGATAACTTGCAGTTCATTAGGTGAATTGGATGTTGATTAAGTTGATTAACTGCTCTGATGGATTCAATGCAGTGAAGGCTTTGTTAGATTGATTCAAACCGGTAATTTGTGGTTTTTAACTATCCTTTGAGTTCTGACTCATACTGTAAGAGTCATTAATTCGGGAACCGGACTACATTGGTCACGCTGTATGTTTTTGACTTACTAAAAGAACCGGCTCATAAGAGTCATTTGCAATGACTCACATTCACAACTCGGGTAAAATATATCTTTTGCCTCATTTATGTCTTATTCTCCAAGTTCTATTTCTAGCACAAAGTAAAATGCTTTGTACCGAAAGAGATTAAACATTCACAGGATTTGGAAGCTATTTATATGAGCCATTGTAAATATAGCCTTGTGTTCTGCGGCAGACCTTCTGAGTGAACTGCCCTTGTTTTGAACTTTGCACAGCATCCAAATAAGTAGCCTAAGTAGTGAAAGTCTGAGAACACAAGATAACTCAAGATGAGACATGGCTCATTACACAGTCTATCTCTTAATGCTGAATGGAAAACAGATACTGGATCACCTGGTTTTCCTTTCAGTCAACGTGAGGCCCCCTGCAAGACCCCCTGTATCTTATCAGACCATCTTTTTGGCTCGGGAGACCCAACAGTGTGCTAATCCCGCACCCCTGTGCGCACCTCAGGGCGTCGCTGTGGTTTGGACCGTCCCTTCACTCTGAATTACACTATTTGGTGCTGCAACACAAGCCAGGCCACTGCTGGCTCCACAGAATACAGGGTCATGGAGCTTCACACACTCCTTTTCATATTTCTGGCTTTCCCTCTGTCTCCTCTAGTAGTCTAGGCACAGTCAGTTTATCAGCATGGGTCAAGCAGGGATTTGTTGTTGCCGGAGATGACAAAGGTCAGACTTCTGGGAATGCACTTAGATGAGGTGCCTGCTATCCTTCTGTTACTGTTCACAGGGTGTTGAGCCAGACACGACATCCCGTTATAGATTGTGGTCTTGAAGGTCAGTTGCATATGGGTCAATGACATATAAGCGTGTACACTATAAAGAAAAGGATTTTTTTTTAAAACATGCAAAATTCTTAGAAAATTATCCTTAGTTCTTATATTGGGTAGGCCAGTCACGATAACAACTTTTTGTTGTGCGATATATTGCCCCAGAAATTATTGTGATAAGCGATATTATTGTAATTTTAAAGACCATTCAGGTAATGACTGCCTTAAGTCTGGAACTCATGGACATCACCAAAGATTGGGTTTCCTCCTTTGTGATGGTTTGCCAGGCCTTTACTGCAGCTGACTTCAGTTGTTGTTTGTTTGTGGGTCTTTCTGCCTTTAGTTTTGTCATCAGCAAGTGAAATGCATGTTCAATCAGGTTGAGATCATGGAATTGACTTGGCCATTGCAGAATATTCCACTCTTTTTTACCTTCAAAAACTCCTGGGTTGCTTTTGCTGTATGTTTTGGGTCATCGTCCATTTGTACTATGAAGCACCGTCCAATCAACTTTGCTCCATTTCACTGTATCTGGGCAGAGAGTATATCCCTATACACTTCAGAATTCTTCCGGCTGCTTATGTCCTGTGTCACAACATCACTAAACACCAGTAACCCAGTGCCACTGGAAGCCATGCACGCTCATGCAATCACACTGCTCCACCATGTTTCACAGATGATGTTGTGTGCTTTGGATCATGAGCTGTTCCAAGCCTTCTCCATACTTTTTTCTTCCCGTCATTCTGGTACAGGTTGATCTTAATTTCAGCCGTCAAAATAATGCTTTTCCAGAAGTGGTCTGGCTTTTTTAGATGTTTTTTAAAGTCTAATCTGGCCTTGTTTGCACCTTGTGGTGAACCCTCTATATTTGCTCTCGTGAAATCTTCTCTTGATTGTAGACGTTGACAGTGACAAGGCTACCTCCTGGAGAGTGTTCTTCTTCTGGCTGGATGTTGTGAAAGGGTTTTTCTTTACCATGGAGAGTGAGGTGGATGGATTATCTTGGCAAAGGAGAAGTGCTCACTAACACAGATTTAGACAGATTTGTGAACAATATTTGAGAGAAATAGGCCTTTTGTGTACATAGAAAAAGTCTTAGATCTTTGAGTTCAGCTCATGAAAAATGGGGGCAAAAACAAAAGTGTTGCGTTTATAATTTTGTTCAGTGTATATACAGTATATATAGTAGCCTAGGTATATATTACAAATAATTTGAATGAAAATGTCATAAATACGTAAAACATTCTTGTCATAAAATGGTCAAATTATGTAATATTTTAAGACACTTATTGACCTTGACACACATCCATGAGGGGACATCCACATCCTCTCTATGATATCATTTCCTGTTTCCTGTCATTATGTTTTTCCCCTGCACGTGTCTGCATAGTTGGACCACATGACTTGACGTGATTTGGCAGCTTTTTAAATATCTAAGTAAGCAGTAAGCAAAGTGATGAGTGATCTAGCATTATATGGTTTATCAATTAATGATTTTCATTGATAAATCATATTATGCTAGATCACTCATGTAAAAAGTAGCATGTTACTTTTTATTTATAATATTAAAAGTAATACATCGTAAATCTATTAATTTTTTTTATATATTTTATGAACAAAAACAAGCACATAAATAAGCAGTAAAGCATTGTGTGTGTGTGTGTGTGTATTTATGTGTATATATATCTGTGTCACCTTGACATTTATGAGCCTCACTAAAAATTAATTTTAATACAAAAATGTCAATATTCTCATCATAGAAAAGGTT